GCAGCAGCACCTCCTGAGGGTAGAGCAGTGGGGAAATGGGCTGGCATAGCCAGGCCACTTGGTAGGAAGCTTACTTCAGTTCTTTTCTCAAATTAAAAGACAAAAAGACACTCTTGCCTCCTAATGAGTGTGTTGGGCACTCCAACACACTCCCTTCAGCTTCCTAATATTTTTTAGACAAGGTCTCACTTGTAATCCTGGTTGGCCTCAAACTCACTATGAAGCTCAGGCTGGTCTTGAACTCATGGCATTCCCTCCTGCAGCTCTCTCCTGACTGCTAGGATTGCAGGTATGAGTCACTATCTCCAAGCACCTTTTTTAAAGAAAATGTTCAGTTCCGGTCAGCATGGGATTTTCCAACTGTCCCTTGGTGACATCTGTCAAAAGGAAAACAGACCAAGATTCAAGTCCACAGTCTGCCTGAATGGCCCTGTGGTTTTGGACAAGTCTTCTCACATCTTTGCACTCTGACAGAAAACAGGTGGCAGTAGCCCTACCTCACGAGATTGCAGAAAAGATCACACAAGAATATGGGCAGAAAGCACTGGGTCCACACGAATGAGACACACACACACACACACACACACACACACACACACACACACACACACACACACTTCGTACTTCCTGCAAGCGTTGAATTAATTCAGCTTATGTTATTTTTAGCCTTAGAAGCAGGAGAACGTTTCTGACCTTGTCACTCAGTTCTGATAGTCCGTATCCTGCTAGGCCACCTGGTGTTCCTTTTTGGGGGACCACCTTGATCAGCCTACTCTGCTTTCCCCGCTCTACTGGGGCGTGGAGAACCCTGAAGGGAGAGAGGAGGGTGGCCCAGGAGGGAGTGGGAAGGGTGAGAGGGAAGCGACGGCACTCCTGCACCTGCTTCTTTGAGAACAAAGCCAAGCATGATGCAATCTGGCCCAGTGCAGCTGAGGCTGCCAGGCCTGGAGAGGGAGAGTGGGTGTCAGTCGGGAAAGGTGGCAGGCACCAGAGTGCACACAGGTGTCCCGGGACGCCTTACTCGGGACTCACAGCCAGTCACTGGGAGGCCCCTTCCTACGACTCCTGGACCCCTCCTGAGGCTCCTCCCCCAGGGTCTGGTCCCTCCCCAAATCCTTGCAGCTGCTTCCTAGGCAGGAGCTTGACATGATGCAATGAAGACCTCAGGGCAAGCAGCCTTCTCCCCAGGCGAGGGCTAGACAGGAGGCCCAGGAGTAGCACAGGCCCGGCTGGCCTTCCCCAGCAGGCCTCGGGGTGCCTGTTGGGGTGCCTGTTGTCCCTTGTCATCGTAGAGAAAAAAGGGCATATCCTCCAGAGGAGGTGGGGAGAGAGGCTGGGGGAGACCCAAGGGCCGAGCCGGGCGGGAGTCCCAGCATCTGTCACTGGCCATCGTCAAGCCAGCCAGAGTAGGGCAGGCTGTAAGAGTGGCACCCTCCAGTGTGGGGTTGTGGGCCTCAGCTCTGCACACCACCAGTGAGTCTAGAAGACATGGCTCTCTCTGCACCTCAGAAAGGGGTTTTGTCCCTCATGTATGGTCAGGCAGAGGATTCGGGACAAGCCAGGGTCCCTGACTGGCCAAGGTGAAATCTGGCCGCAGAAGAGGAGGATTGGAGACGCTGTTTGTGAATATTTATCCCAGCCTCACCCACTACTACCAGCCTGAGAGTGCAGCTGGGTGGCCTGGCTTAGAGCAGCCACTAGGTGGCAGGAGAAGCTTTGAAGGCTCACCTGGCTTCGTCCACTCCCACCCTCCCACCCAGAACCAGGTGACACTAAGTTCCTGTCCTGCGTCCAGCAGCTGCCTTGGAATTCCCTTCCCGGTTGAAGGTTCACTGCTCAGTTCAGTCTGGCCAACCCTAGTCCTGAGTGTTACAGGTAGGAGTTGGCAACCACAAGGTGCATCAGAAAGGGGCGTGCCCTGTCCTGATCAGGCTTCTCTTCAACCACTTGGGGCAGATCCAACCTGGTGCCAGGCATTCAGGGGTTGGCAGTGTGATTGCAGCCCAGAGCTCCGGCGGCCAAGCCTGAGTCCCAGCTCACCACACTCAGCAGCTCTTCTAGCCTCCTCACACATGCTGGGTTCTCCCCTGACCATTGCGGCTCAAAACTCATCCAAAGGTGCTTGCTTCCAGTCCAGTCTGGTTTCCATCCCAGCCCCCTATTCAAAGCCCAGAGGTGATTTCAGCCAGGAGAATCTGTCCGTGATGCTATCCCCCCCTCAGTCTAACTGTGTACCCTCTGTGTGTTTGTGTGTAGGTCAGAGGGCAATTTTCAGAAGTCAGTTTTCTCCTTTTCATCATGTGGGCTCCAGATCCACCATATATATTCCAAGGATTGAACTCAGGTAGTCAGCCTTGGCATGTTTACCTGCTAAGCCTTCTCACAGGCCCTTCCATGTGGCTTTAGAAGGATTTTTTTGTTTTGTTTGAGACAGGGTTTCTCTGTGTAGCTGTGCGCCTTTCCTGGAATTCACTCTGTAGCCCAGGTTGGCCTCGAACTCACAGAGATCCACCTGCCTCTGCCTCTGCCTCCCGAGTGCTGGGATTAAAGGCGTGTGCCACCACTGCCCGGCCTAGAAGGAATTTTTTATTTTTTATTTTTTTAGACAAGTGTAACAGGCTTTTCCTTTTTGAGCCACCAACCAGCTCCCAAATCATGGCGTTGAGACTTGTTATTAGTTATGAATGGCTTTGTCTTCCCTCTTGTTTTCATCTGTTTAATCTATATTTTAAGATTTATTTATTATGTATTCAGTGTTCTGCCTGCATGCTAGAAGAGGGCACCAGATCTCATTACAGATGGTTGTGAGTCAACCTGTGGTTGACTAGGAATTGAACTCAGGCCCTCTGGAAAAGCAGCCAGTGCTCTTAACCTCTGAGCCATCTCTCCAGCCCCCACCACCACCCCTTCTCTTGAGCCTAGATTTCTCCTCCTACTTGTTTTTTATGCTGGCTAGTCCCACCTATCCTTTGTCTGCCAAGCTATTGGCCGTTCAGCTCTTTATTAGACCTATCAGGTGCCTTAGGCAGGCAAGGTGGAACAGCAACACATCTTTACATAATTAAACAAATGCAGCAGAAACAAATGTAACACATCTTTACATAGTTAAATACTTCACAACAGACAGGGTCTCACTATGTAGCTCTGGCTGTTCTGGAACTATGTAGACCAGGCTGGCCTCAAACTCACAGAGATCTGCCTGCCTTTGATTACCTAGTGCTGGGATTAAAGGTATATGCCAGCATGCCTGGCTAGAAGGAATTATTTTCTTAAAGATTTGTGTATGAATGTTTTGTCTGCATGTATATATCTGTACCGGGTGTGTCTGGTGCTCGTGGAGGCCAGAAGAGGGCATCAGACCCAGGAACTGGAGTTATAGATGGTTGTGAGCCACCATGTGGGTGCTGAGAACTCAAACCTGGGTCCTCTCCAAGAAGTACTGTTAGCCAGTGAGGCATCTCTCCAGCCCCTAGAAGATTTTTTTGAAAGGATGGCAGGAAAACAGGAGGCAAGACCACTTGGGAAATTGCTGAAATTGTTTGGATAAAAAGGGAGGATACTCAAATTTCACATATGGCAAGGTTTTTTGTTTTTGTTTTTTGTTTTTTGTTTTCCCCTCAACAGTCCCAGCTTCTATGGAGACCTGAGTATAGGTTAACAGTGCAGAAAAAGAAAAAGAAAAAAAAAACCCTTCTGAATCCTTTGGGATGGAATCTCAATGACATGACAACTCACTTGTGAGCTTGAATGAACTCTGAGCTTTTGGCTGAACAACAGAGAAAAATTATGGGTGCTCAGAGTCCAATTGGCACAAATATGCAGAAGAGTCATGAGGTGGAAGATGCTCATTCTGAGATGTGGGAGGAGGAAAGATGGAGAAACACTTTCCTTAGGTCCCCGCTGGCCACCGATGGATATGGGATAGAACAGCAGGAGGATCTTCTACACCGTTCCTTGCCATGGACTTGTAAGTCAAGCACGTGCATGATGAGCTCTGCCATGGTAGGGGACGGGACAGCCTTTGAGACAAAAGGTAGTAGCCACAGTGGACAGGATCATAGGAGGTTAAGAGGTAGTTTCAAGTTGTAAAGAACATTTTGTGCCCAAGTTTACAAAGGGATGCTCATCTTCCAAGGGTTTTATGGCCCAAGTCAGAGGGGACCCAGATCTAGCTTTCCTAAGCTTAGAGTCCAACAGGCCTCACCATGTTGAGTGATCTGGAGTCAGAACAATGAAAATTAGTGCTACATTTGGAAAGTAAACTCTGAGAACACACTTGTACCACCCTAGATGAGGCCTGCCAAGCTCAGGAGCTTCTGGCCAAGATCTCTTGTGATGGGCTCCCAAATGGCTAGTGAAGCCTCCCTGTAATACCGCTGATGTATTGTGGAGCCACCTCTTCTTTCAAGAACAAAGGACATTTTACTCAGGCATTCCTGTCACTGTCAGACGACCAGTTTCATCCCAAGAGCTGCATCTCCAGAACTGGGGCCAGCAGAGACTCCTAGAGGCCTGCCTCTGACTAGCCCAGTGACGAGGCTTCCCAGAGAATTCAGCAGGAAACCTACAGACTATTTCCAGGCAGCACACTGGCCCCTTAAGCAGGAAGCAGAAGACTAAGGGAAAAGGGTAGGTGGGGTTAGTGGTTCCCAGTACACACCTGCATCCATCAGCAAAGTGACAGCCTTGCCCCAGATCTGGGAGGGCCAGGCTGGAAAAGCAGCAAGGAAGCCTTTGGCTAGCCTCACCAGGATGGCTACTGCCACATAAAAGTGCCACTCCACACCCAGACAGGAAGGCTTCAGGCACCTGCCCTCTCTCCCCAAGGCTCTCTGGAATGCTCCTGCACTTTCTAAGGCAGATCTGGGGAGTGGCCATGAGCCTCAGGAATTTTCCAACAACTCTAAAGATGGCACTGGGTGTGTTCTGCATGGTTGCCATGCCCGAGAGTAGATGAAGAGTCAGGAGAGAGACTGAAAAACACAAATCCCAGTAACAGATCATTTCTAAACATTTTTATTTCAAATCTTTTTTCATCCCTCCCCAAAAAGACATGGGTCGGTACAGCAATCATAAAAAGGAGATACAAACACAAGAGTCAAATGTCTCCCGCACTGACACTTACAAAAAACCGGGAATTATACACAGGGTTTCCAAACAGGACCTGCAGCAGCTACTAATGTCCCTTTACAAGAGTCAAACATGCCTATTAATACAGTATTTACAGACACCCCATTCTGGAACTAATCTACAGGGACATCCCAACACCCACCCCTCTATGCCCAGAAAAATACCAAAACACACCCAAAGTGCATTTGTTTTGTTTATATCAAAACATCTTTCCCTCTCCCCATCCCACCCCAGACCCCCCACCCATTTAAGATTGGCCTGCAAGTCTATTTTAACCATTTAGTTATTTTTTATACTTTATGAAAATAAATTATACAGCAACTATTTTAATAAATTAAGCACAAAAAGGGAGAATAAAGGAGGAAAACTAAATGGGAAGACAAACACCAGGCCACGCTTTGGCTCGGAGGGCAGGGGTGGCTAAGCAGGACGGAGTGGCTGCAGGGGTATGGCTCCCCTCTGGTGAAGAACCCCCTAACCACTGAGTCCAGAGTGACACCCCTCAGCACGCAGTCTCTGAAAAACTACCAGAATGCACAAGTGCCTGTGCCATGCAGCACCAGTGTGGGCGTCTCAACGTCTGGCCTGCCCAGAGTGGTGCCTGGATCTTGCCTGTCCCTCTCAGGAGCACCAGGGATGGAGTGGTCAGAGCAGCCCACTGTCCACTGAGCAGTGTGCACAGCAGGGTCCCCCCGTGGGCTGAAGAAGAATGTCTTGGTTTCCCTATCTGTCTCCAGAAGCAGAGGCCATCGCAGTCCAGCTGCGATCCAATGTTGCTGTCTGCCTGCTACAGCTGGCTGCTTTCCTTGACTTCTCGACGCCTCTTGGCATTGTGAGGAGGATCAGTGGGGCCCGGAGCAGCTCCAGAGACCCTCTAAACCCTCTGAAGATGAAATGGGAGTGAAGGCATGTCACAAACTCAGCATGCAGGATTGGCTTTCCGGGAGGTAGATGAAGTGGGAAGGGACAGGACAAAGGACAGGAAAGACAAGAGGACACGGGAAGCAATGAAAGGTCAAGGACACATGGAATCTGCATGTGAAGAAAGGCCCCTTCTCTGGCAGATTACAGAACCAGCACTCTATTTTCAACTGCAGTGCGGAGTCCCAGAGCTCTCGCTGATTCCATCCCATCTCCCTCCCCAAACGCTGTTCTCCACTGCTTCAAGGAAGGCCTCCTGGCACTCTGTACTAGCACAAAGGCTCCAATGCCAAAACAGGATGTACCATGGGGACTTGCAGACTTGATTCTTGTGGCCCAGTAATTCTACAGCTATCATAATGGGGCACACCTTTCTTTCTTTCTTTTTTTTTTTCCTTTTTTTTTTTTCTTTTTAATAAAAAAGGTTTTACTCCCCAGGAGCAAATAAATCATCTGAACTACTGATAAACACTGCTGCAGTGAAAAGAAAGACGGCTACATGTATGTATGCAATAGCACAAATTTAGTGAGGACAGCTGTGCTGATGACTAGAAAGAAAAACCACTTATCCACTCCCTTCTTCCCACAAACCAAACCAAGAGGATTCCCATAGGGAAAATGTCTAACTCAAAGCTCTTCCCCTCCACACAGGGGGCATGCCATACTCTAAAAGTGGAAAACAAATCCTAGTCCCCGCTAGTGGAGATGTTCCCAACATCCCACTGCAGGCAAGACCTCTACAAATGAGGACTCACACACAGATCTCCAGACCTTGCTGCAGCTCCTTAGACTTGACCTCTGACTCCTGGGCTCAAAGGTCAGGAGAGGCAACAGGGAAGGAAAATATCTTACCTGGGGAAGTTTCTCCTGTCCCTACTTCCCACTGGAGTAGGGACTTCCAGCAGGCCATGCCCTTCTAGGAGCATGGGGAAAGGCTGAAAGGGTGGTGGCTCCCTGGGGTCCTTCCTGGAGCTAGACTGAGTCATTCCCCAGTCCTTATGGGATGTGCATCAGAGGGGGATGTGTTGACATCCCATCACTACTCCCTGCTTGGCCTCAAACAACAGCTTAGCCTAAGTGACAGTGGGAAAAGAGAAACAGGAACTAGGGGTCACTTCCAAGCTTTTTCCAGAGGCTGGCACTGCCATCTACATTTACTTCACCCTGGCATCAGCCTAAACGTCAAATCAGGATAGCTGGCCCCCGAGCCAAGCCCCTGCTCTCCCATGCCTATGCTCCCGCACAGACATGCATTTCAAGGAAATCTAGGTTGCAGCAGCAGTTGTCACTAGCTTACACTGGCACATATCCGTCTTGAGGAAGGTTACAATAGATGAGTTATAAACAAGGGAGGGTCACATAGTCTGCGGCTGGGAAGGAACAGTGACTCTCCCCACCACAACTCAGAAATCCACAGCAGTTCTCTAGAAGTGATGGCCTTTCCTGGTTTGTGACCAAAGACAAGTGAGTCCCTTCCGTGGACTGCATTTCCACTAGCACTGTCCAGCATGGGCAAAGGGCAAAGGCCAATGCTGACTTCTGGCCTTGCTCCTGCCGTTCTCCAGCCAGCCTGCAGTCCAGGCAACTGCCTCAACTGCTCTCCCCAAACATTCCCTTCTACACAAGTCTCCCGGGTGCCAAGCCCTGCCTCACAGAGCTGTCTCCCACAGTGCTCTGTTCCGCAGCCCACTCTGCCGAGGAAGGGTCAGACCAGTTGGGCTGTGTCTGACATACATGCAGATCATGTCCACCGTGCAACATGCTTTCCCAGGACAGAAAGGGCGAGGCTACCCATGCTCCACAGGAGGTCTGGTTTGCACCTGAGTATACATTCTCCACTGGTACCACAAAGGTGTCTGCCGACTTCTGGTTTTGCCCTCCAGCACACCCTCACGCCTCCTTAGCCTTCAGACCTGATGAACTACTGGGAGGTTTCAGTCTAGACCTCTGCAGTCAAGTAGGACTCCGATGCTGTTATTTAAGGCAGCTGCGTACTTGCCACACAGACTTCTCCTTCTGTACATTAGTTTGAGTGCTCTGTTACACTGCCCTCGCCTACAACCCAAAGCCCCATCACCACAGAGCTTTCCTAGACCATCTGGTCTACCCTGATCACGCCCACTCTGTCTTTAAAGATGGTCCTTGACCTTCTGCTGTGATGAGTCGCTCTCCAATTCCCTCCTATGCAACAGTCACTTTGCAGTTCCCTCAAGGAAGGGATCTTGTCTTCTACCTCATATGTCCTTCCACACTACCTAGCTCAGAGCCATGCAAACACAGGATGAAAACTACTTTTAAATTATGGGTGGCTGAAACTGGAGACAGAATCCCTCCAAACTACATAGTAACCACTTGAAGATCTCTGTGGATTCTAGATTTGGGGCTCTATTGCAGAGTGGCCCTTTCTGGACGTATGATGGTGAGTGACCTGGATGCTCCAGAGGCAGAAATTACAGGTATGCCAATCTCTGAATCATGATCTTATGCTGTTGGTAATATGACATCAAGGAGGAAAAGAGGACCATGAGCCCTGTCACAAGTGGGCTAGAAAACACGTACGTACACGGTTCATTTCTTTACAGTCTTCTAAGGAAGCACATTTCCTCTCTGGTTAGCTAAAGGAGGAAGGAGGTGACTGACTCCATGCAGAGGGAGCCCACAGGGCTTCACCCTGAACCATCCATAACTCCAAACCTGATGTTCAGTTTGTTATATAAGGCAGATACAAGCAGAGAGAACTCAAAAGGCTGTCATATGGACACTACAGGAGGGTAAGGAAGACCCAACAGCTCCACCATCCATCTTGACAGTTACTTACTTCTCCCAGAGGAACTCTTTAGGAGAGCAAATTCATGGAGCCTATGACTGGCCATGGCCAGCCTCAGACACAGAGACAGCTCAGCACTGAAGTTCTTTCCTCCTCCACAGCCCTCTGGAAAACAGGCAACTTTCAAACTAGCATCTGACAGACTTCCCAGTAAAGGAAGGGCAATGGGGTCTGACTCAGGAAATGGCCGTGTTGCAAGAATGAACATGGGAAAATGAGGAAGCCCTTGCCACCTCCCATCCCAGAGGTGGGACGATGGTGATTAATCTATGATTGTGAGACTCGATGCTCTCTCTCCATTAAGGCTGAGACACGAAGGCTCCTTTAGAGACACAATAGCTGATTCTCACTTCCTCCACATTTCCTCTCGCTAGCTGACAGATGGAGTAACACCGGCTCCTCAGCCATGGACATGCTTTGCCATGAAGAACCTGGAAGCATGCTCCATTAACCTCAGCAGCCTAGGACTGGAGCTCTGAACAGCCCAGGTGACAAGAACCACCACTGCCTGGACAGCTGGCGGAAGCAATAGGAGTGTTGTTATAAGCCAAGTGAAATGCAGTTACTGAGGGAAGGGGTGAGGACGGAGGGGGTTTGCCTCGGGTCTCTGAGCTTAAGGAACTGAGCACAACAAAATGAACACCGATCCATGAGAGGCGACTCTGAAAGCAGGCTTGTAACCCTGAACAGGAAAGGAGTGGGGTCACCTCCCCCCGGCACACAGGACAGCCGGTCTCTCTCACCCTCCACCCCTTCTCTCCTCTCCTACTGAAGCTGGAGACGAGAATCTTCAGAAGCTACCAATCCCATCCCTCGCTGCTTCTCTGGCTCCTGGCCCTCCTCCAGGTTCACAGAGAAGAAGACTTCAAGGCTGCCTTTGGCGCCAGCTGAACCGCCAGCCTCCCCTCCCCTTCCCCTGACCTGCTCATCCCAACACCACTTTCAACTCAATGGGTATAAACCCCAGCTGCCTTCAACTGAGTTTTCTACACTGAGAAATGTAAATAGCAAAACATAACTTCTGAAAAGAAACAGTGTTAAGACTTCTTCCAGTTTTCCAAGGAGCTCATCTCTGGGGTGCACAGGGTTCGGTAGAACAGGGAGCCCCACTTGGAGGATGGTTGTGTGCTTCTTCCAAGCCCCAGAGCTGCAGGGGAACCAAAGTCTGTGCCAGGAATCACAACCCTCTCTCTTCTCTCTTTCTGCCAAGTTCTTCTTTTGTGGTAGGTTCATTTGGTTCTTCAGACTGGAGCTTGGCACCCAATATGCCTAGGTAAAAAGGGAAACAAAACAGAACAAAAGCACAGTTCAAGCACAGTAGAGAACCAAAGGGGGTGAGAAGAGAACAGGGCAGCCACTGTGGGCAGGAGAAGAGCAGTCTCAGAGCAGCATGGCAGCCGGACAACCAGATGCTTCCGCGAAAACTGTAACAGCAGATGTGCCAACTGCCTCTGTTCCTTTTGGTCCTTGTTCTGTCTCACAAAGCCACAAAGGACATGAACACTCTTCCTGGGAAAACCCCCAAGGATTTCTTTCAGCTGCCCACCCTAACACTCTTCTCTGGGTTAACTGCATTTTCAGTCCTATTTTGTCCTCCCATATGATGATGTCTGGAATCCCAACACCCGAGGCCTTCTGAACGTGCTCCTATTAATTGTGGGTTTCTTGTAGGGCACAACACCCACAGAAATCATGTTCTAACTGAAAGATCCTATTATTTTTCAATAGGGAGCTGGAGAGATGGCTCAGAGGTTAAGAGTGCTTACTACTTTTGCAGAGGACCTGAGCTCGGTTCCCAGCACCCACATGGTGGCTTATAAACCCTTATTAACTCTGGTTCCAGAGGGCGTAAAGCCACCTTCTGGCCTCTACAGGCTTCTATATGCATAGGTGTACATTAAATCAAAAGGTGCATACACACACACACACACACACACACACACACACACACACACACACACACACAAATACTTTAAAAAAGGAGCAGAGTCCAGTAGATGCTTCTAGTTCCCTATAACCTTTCCATTCTGATCTTTTTATTTTTGAGATAGGATCTTGATACAAAATGCATGGTGGCTGGGCATGGTGGCACTCAAAAGGGAGAGGTAGGCAGGTCTTTGAGTTCTAGGCCTGCCCTCATCTCCAAAGAAAAGTCTTTTGGGCTGGTGAGATGGCTCAGCAGATAGCCACCTGCTATAAAGCCCAGGGTGGTCTCATGGAAATGGAGGTCCTGGCTGGAGAGAAGGCTCTGTGGATAAAAGCACTTGCTGCTCTTCCAAGATCCAAGTTCAGTTCTCAGTATCCATGATGTGTGTGGGGGGGTGTTTAACAAGTACCTGTAACTCCGGAGCCAGGGAATCTGACACCCTCTTCTGGCCTTTCAAAGTACTTGCATTCATGTCTACACACTCCTACACAGTAACATAATTAAACAAAACCTTAAAAAAAAAAAAAAAAAAAAAAAAAAGGAAACAGACCCTACTGCTTTTATCTTCCATGTGCTGGGATTACAGACATGTCACCATACCCAGCTCCTGCCCTAATGTTCTCTGTAAGGCCACTACACAAAGAACTCTTCCTATGCTTAAGTACTTGGATATGCTAGGAATCACTTCCAAGGCACACAACCTGCATGTAACTAAAGATCTGAGCAGTTTTACATCCAGACCAGAACCCTTAAGTCAGAGCTCCACAGCATTCTGAAGCAACCATCTCTTGGTCTCTGTCTGTCTTTCCCTCTGCCCCTGATAATACTTACTAGCATGGCTCTCCTGCTTTTCCAGAAAACAGGATCTAGGACTTCCAGAGCCCAGGAGACACACACTAAGTTTACTTCGGTAGAAAACATAATAGTGGGGCTGAACAACTGGCTTAGCCTTTAAGAACACTGGCTGCTCCTCAGAGCACCCACATGGCAGTTCACAACTATTTGTAACTCCAGTGCTAGGGGATCTGATGCCTTTCTTCTGGCCTCCCTGGCCACTAGGCATAAATGTGGTACATATATATATATATACACACAGGCAAAACAGCCATATGCATAAAATTTTAAAAATTCAAGGAAGAAAACACGGGACAGTAACTCTAGGTGTCATACTCCTCTGGAAAAGCGCAGAGAGGCCGAGCAACTAGAGCTCCCACTTTAAGATGGAGGAGCACATGAGAAGGACCGATTCAGTGCTTAGAAACAACTTCCAGGTTAACACCAGACTGGCTGGTGACCTGGGATGGAGGGTGAGTATGTGCAGTCGCCAGCATGGCCAAAAGCAACAGTCCCATAAATTCTACTTCCTACTCAGGCCAGCCTTTCAGTGTTCACTTTAGTATTAAATAAGCCAGATGGGGTCGAGCTTTCTAATCCCAGACATTAATCCCAGAACTCAGGAGGCAGAGGTAGGCAAATGTCTGTGAGTTTGAAGTCAACCTGAATTCCAGACCAGCCAAGGCTATATACTGAGATCCCATCTCAAAAAAAATAAAAAATAAATAAATAAATAACCTAATGAGACCACACATAGTAGTATACCGTGACATAGTAAGACCCTAGCAATAACCACAAATAAATAAAAGAACAAAAACCAACCCAGTCAGGAAAACCATAGAGATCAGCTCAGGTCTTGCATGGGGCATGAATATGGTTCTCGGGGTCTGACGCTTCGGGACTCCATGTGCACTTGTGCTCATATGTGTGCCACCTCTCCGCACACATAACTAAAACAAAAATAAAATCTGAAAATAAATAAACAAGTAACTAGACTCCACTGGCACAGAGGTATGGTGATGTATGCCTATAATCCCAGGACTTGGGGAGATGCAGGCGGAACAACCAGGGGTTCAAGGTTAGCCAGAGCTACATGAGACTGTCTATAAATAAACAGGATTGGTAAGATGGCTCAGTGGTTTAAGGCACTTGCCTGGAAAGCCTGGTGACTTAAGCTTAATTTACCATGTAAAGGTGAAAGGAGAGAACTCCTTGACCTCCACATGCACACACTACTACAACTGCTACTACCAGTAAAGACAAGAATTTCCAACACAAACCAGTATTCAAAACAACTTACAAAGAAAGAGTAGACCTCAGCAGGGCAGTGGGAAACGGCCTCCGACTTCAACCATTCCCTCACTTATTCTTTTCTTTCTCTTTTTCATTGTGTCTGTGTGTGTGTGTCTGTGTGTGTGTGTCTGTGTGTGTGTGTCTGTGTGTGTGTGTCTGTCTGTCTGTGTGTGTGTCTCTGTGTGTGTGTGTGTCTGTGTCTGTGTGTGTGTGTGTCTGTGTGTGTGTGTGTCTCTGTGTGTGTGTCTGTGTGTGTGTGTATGTGTGTGTGTCTCTGTGTGTGTGTGTGTCTGTGTGTGTGTGTCTGTCTGTGTGTGTGTGTCTGTGTGTGTGTGTGTGTGTATGTGTGTGTGTCTGTGTGTGTGTGTCTGTGTGTGTGTGTCTCTGTGTGTGTGTGTGTGTGTGTGTGTGTGTGTCTGTGTGTCTCTGTGTGTGTGTATGTGTGTGTCTCTGTGTCTGTGTGTGTGTCTGTGTGGACTTGTGCATGAGCACAGTGCCTTCAGACACCAGAAAAGACTGTTGAAGCCCCCTGGAGGTGGAGTTATAGCAGGTTGTAAGCTGCTGGACATGGGTGTTGGAAATTGAACTCAGGTCCTCTGCAAAAGCAGTATGTGGCCTTAACTGTTGAGCCTCCATCTCCAAGAATATTTATTTACTTACTTACTTACTTACTTACTTAAATTTTGGTGTTGGGGGGTAGAGTTTGAAACAGGGTCTCATGAAGCTGGCCTCAAACTTGCTATGTAGCTGAGGTCAACCGTGAACTCTGATCCTGTGGCCTCTACCTCCTCAATGCAGGGATTACAGGTATGTGCCACCTTGCCCAGTCTAATTTATCCCTTTGAACATTTACTTTGTGGTGGCTGAGAAAAGGCAGGCTGCTTTTTCTCATCCCCCATCTCAAGCTATGGGCCTCAGTGGAACTCTTACTAAAATCATGCCTTTTGAAAATAAAGGCATACATGAATTCTATTCACGTTTATCCCCTACCCTTTGGGCTCTTGCTTTCTGTATCATGCATGCAGTATCCTGGAGATCAGCTATAACACATATGAGAAGCCACATCTGCAGTCACTGTGTCTGCCTTCCTCATCTTATGCTATGCCACCCCTCCTGCATATATATATGCCTGCATATATGTATGTGTACCCCATGTTTGCCTGGTGTCCATGGAGGCTAGAAGAGGGCACCCTACCCCTTGGAACTGGTGTTACAGATGGTTTTGAGTTGCTACATGGGTGCTGAGAACTGAACCTGGGTCTTCTGTAAGAGACTTAAGAGCTCTTAACCTGTGGGTTGCAACCCCTTTGGCAAACCTCCATCTCCGAGAATATTTACATTTGATTCATAACAGTAACACAATTACAGTTGTGGAGTAACAACGAAAATAATTTTATGGTTGGAGATCCCTACAACATGAGGAATTATAGTAAAGGTCGAAGCATTAAGGTTAAGAACCACTGCTTTAAGCCTTCACGCCTGTTGTGTTTTTCTTCAAATGAAGTATGTACCTATTAGGGAACCGATTATCAGACAAATGCATGGGTCAGAAGTATAGGTCAGAAATATACTCAGGAAGTAAAAAGGCAGGGAGGGTGTTCCTACCTTTATGTTGAACAGCAGAGGCCCTCGCTGCTACGTGGAGGGTTCCACCTCTTGCTTCTGTTTGGAAATGAGCTGCGCTTCCTTTAGGGACAGGTATACCTCTTCCTGAGGATCATAGTAGTAGAACTTTCGAATGTAAGAGATCAGAGGTCTGTGAAAAGCAAGGGGACACTTCTCAGGAAATTGATGGTTGTTTCTTTTAAGAAACCTCTCTTGCTGAACCCTCTCTTCTCCATTCATTTATACGGCTACAACTACTGAACAGCCTTTGCCAACCTGACCAAATTCTCACCTCACTCCTTACACACTTGTCTCCCTTACTCTACTGCACTGCACTCTGCCCAAGGCCTGCACAGAGTGAGGCCAACATACCTATCTTCCTCCCTTTCTGCTGCAATGATACAGCTCTAGTGCTAAGTGCTAAGACACAGAGAAACAAAAGAACATTGCCTACAATTTTATGCTGGGCTGGGCCTCTGGGAGCAACTTGCAAGCTTCAAAGGCATTTCTAACCCACCACCCTGCCCTAACCCTGATGACCCCATTGTACTTAGGCAGTGGGAGATCCGGGATATGATCTATTCGGACAAGCTGCCGGATCCGGAATCTGCAAAGATGCTGGAGGGACTTGACATTGCTGAATCTGGACACTGGATAGAGAAGCTGTACTGGTGTTGGTGGCAGGCCTTCAAGAATGAAAACAAAGGAAACTCCTCAGAGAGAATAATAACACAACTAACTACAGCTCCCCGAGGAAGAGAAATGTGGGGCTGTCGTGGGGCTACTTTAGAGTTCATGTGTACGCTGTACAAAAGCCCCCCCCAAAGGGCTGTGGACAGCATCTGTGAAGTACTACTACCATAGTCTACTCAAGGGAATTTAGTGTCTGCTAACCTCCCCAGCAACATTTTGGTTTGGTTTGGTTTTTTTCCCAGACAGGGTCTTACTACATAGCACAGGCTAAATTGAAACTCACTATATAGACAGGCTAGCCTCAACCTAGAGCAATCCTCCTGCCTCAGCCTCCTGAGTACTGGGACCATAGGTGTGAGCCACCACACTTGGCTACCAGAATCACTCCTAATTGTGGAGAACAGCCCAAAAAACAAGGCCAAGCTAAAGACTCCTTGGGGTCAAAGGGCCAAGCACAGGCCTGAGGTTCTCAGGAAAGGACAAGAACCCAAGTCTACGGAGCTATTGGGAATGGGAGATGGTTGTTCAGTATGATCTAGCAGTATCCTGAACACCAGGGCTCAGGATGTTCAGAGGTACCATGGCTTGAATAGCCTTTATTACCACAAAGGATGTGCGGTGAAGTTTAGTCCTTGTTGCAGAATAATCTTTTTGTACATAGTGAAAATGTGTCTTTGTCAAGATGCCTTCTGGATTGGTTTAATAAAGAGCTAAATGGCCAACAGCTAGGCAGGAGGTCTACGTGGGACTTCCGGGCAGAGAGAACTCTGGGAAGAAGAGAGGCAGAGAGGCCATGGAGATTCGGAATGAGTCAGACATACAATACAGAATGGGATAGAAGTAAAAGCCACGTGGTAGACTATAGATTTTAAAATATGGGTTAAGTTATAAAGCTAGTGGAAGAAGCCTAAGCCAAGGCCGAGCTTTCAGAATTAATAAGTCTCTGTGTCATTATTTGGGAGCTGGCTGGTGGGAAAGAAAGCCTCACTACAAGCCCTGTCTGTAGCAGTGCTGGTGTAGAGCATTTAAGCTCGGGAAGGACCCCAAGATTCCAACTGGAAGCAGAAAGGAGGGCAGGCGGAGGTGGAGCTGGTGTCAAAGGCACCACTCCTGCACCTGTCTTTCCAGGCCAGGCCAGCTCTGCACCTTCCTCCCCTCGCTGCCTTCCTTCCCACCCCTGAAGCACGAGGCTGGGTCACAGGAACAAAGATGAGGATACTTCTGAGAGAACTAGAGCAGCTTGAGCAAGCTGAGTTCAAGAGCCTGCCAGGCCCCACAGCAGACACCCCCACATGGATCAGCAAGCTCTGTGCTAGGGAAGCCCAACTCCCACAGTCAATGCCACAGAACCCACCAAGAATGGCAGGTCACTGAAACACGTTCAAATGAAAGAACAATGTCCTGTTTCTGTAAATGAAGGGACTATGGAGAGTAAGAGAAGCAAACTGAAAACAAGACTGAAAAGTTACTGAAGGAATGCTGTTTTCTGGTTTTTCAAGACAGGGTTTCTCTGTGTAGCCCTGGCTGTCCTGGAACTCGCTCTGTAAACCAGGCTGAACTCAAACTCAGAAATCCACTCTGCATCCCAGAGTGCTGGGATTAAAGCCATATGCCACCACACCCAGCTAGGAATTCTTTTCTTAGCCACAGTCCTATTCAAAGAAATACTGCAGACAGGACTGGAGAGATGGCTCAGTGGTTAAGAGCACTAGCTGCTCTTCCAGAGGACCTGAGTTCAATTCCCAGTAATCACATGGTGGCTCATAACCACCTACAGTGGGATCTGATGCCCTCTTCTGGCATAAAGGTGTACATGCAGATAGAGCACTCATACATAAAAAAAAAAAAAAACTTAAAAAAAATGAAATACTGCGGACACAACTGGTTAGAAAATACTCAAAGCAGCCCGCCTTCAGCACCTGCTCCACCTGAAGAGAAGATCATGGGGTGGCTCTGCCACAGCAAAGGGAACCCTGGGAGAAATGTTCTTCTTAGGTGGCTCCTCTGAGCATCTGCCCTCTGGGAAAGGGTATCTCAGCCAGTGCTGATTTATGCATGACCAACCTCTGCTAGACACCTCACCCTGAAAGACCAAGGCTCCTGTTCTGAAGGTCTTTAGTCTTCCTCCCCCATCCAGGTGGCTGGCTTTTTTTTTTTTTTTTAATTTTATTTTACTTAATTTTGTTTTTGTTTTTGTTTTTGTTTTTCAAGACAGGGTTTCTCTGTGTAGCTTTGCGCCTTTCCTGGGACTCACTTGGTAGCCCAGGCTGGCCTCGAACTCACAGAGATCCGCCTGGCTCTGCCTCCCGAGTGTATGTGCCACCACCGCCCGGCTAAATTTTATTTTTTAGTGTGTGTTGTGTGTGTCTCTATGGCCTCCACTCCTAGGAGGCCAGACGTGGGTGTCAGAGCCCCTGGAGCTGGAGCTGGAGTTACAGGCATTTGTAAGCCACTGGGAAGAGAAACCCTAGTCCTTCAAAAACAGCAAACATTCTTAACAGCTCAGCCATCACTCCAGCCCCTTTCTTCGGGTTTCTGTTCTGTTTTGTTTTGTTTTGCTCATATAGTCCAGGCTGGGCTCCTTCCACCTCTACCTCCCAAGTACAGGGAAGCAAGCAGACAAGGAGAAAGGGAAGGAGGGAGACAGAGAGGGAGAGAGGGAGGGAGGGATGGAGGAAGAGAAGGAGGGAGGAAAAGAAGAAGGGAGGGAGGGAGGGAGGGGGGATAAATGGGAGATCAGTAACACAAAAGAGTCAATTTTTGGAAGAGGAAAGATTTCTTTGGCTTCTGGTTTTGGAAGCTCCAGTTCACACTTGCCTGGTCCCACTGTTTTTATGACTTCACAGTGAGGCAATACAAGGTCAGCAGAGGAATATGTCACATGAAACTGCCTTTCAAAGGCGAGCATCAAGAAAGGAAAAATCACAGCTGAGGTCCTGGCATGGTGATGCACCCACTCAGAAAGTAGAGCAGACTGGTCTCTGAGTTCAAGGCCAAGGCCAGCATGACCTACATAAAGACCCTGCCCCAAATTAATCCCAGCATTCACAGGGCAGAGGCAGGCAGATCTCTGTGAGTTTGAGGCCAGCCTGGTCTACAAATCGAGTTCCAGAACAGCAAGGACTGTTACACAGAGAAACCCTGTCTTGAAAACCAAAAAAAGGAAAAAAAAAGAAAAGAAAAAGAAAAAAGACTACGTAAAGAACTCTTAAAACTCAATAATAACAATAATATATATCCAGTTGAAAAATGAACCAAGTGGAGGTACTCAGTATAGCACAGTGGTAGAGCACCTGCTTAGCATGAGCAAGGCCTTAGTTTGATGCCCAGCACCCCAAAATGAATGAATGAAGTTTAAAAAGAAATAAGCCAAAGTCCTGAGTGTACAGCTGTTGTCAGTGTTCATCGTCACTTGATCGATCTAGTCCCCTAGGAAATGGGCCTCTCTCTGACCATGCCTGTGGAGGGCCATCTTGTTACTGTGAGGGGGAAGACCCACCCACCAGTCTGTAAATACAGAAAGGGAACTGAGCAGCACCATGAGTTTATTGCTCTATTCCTGGCTATGGAGAAAACGCAACCAGCTGCTTCAAGCCTCTGCTACCCTGACTTTCCCATCATGATGGACTACATTACCGGACTCAACTGTGAGCTAAAATGAACCCTTTCTCTTTTGAGAGATGGCTCAGCAGTTACAAGTACTGGCTGCTCTTCCACAGATTCGATTCTCAGCACCCACATGGCAGCTCACAACCTTCTCTAACTCTAGACTCAGGGGATCTGATATCTTCTTCTGGCATCCTTGGATACCAAGCATACATGTGGTACACAGACATACATGCAGGCAAAACACCCATACACATTGTGTTGGCTAGTTTTCTGTCCATTTAACCCTAGCTAGAGTAATATCAGAGAAGGGAACCTCAAGTGAGAAAAGGCCTCCATAAGATTGGGCTGTATAGGCAAACTACTTTGGCTATAGGGCATTTTCTCAATTAGTGACTGACGGGGGGTGGGGGGGGGTGGGGGGGGGGTGTAATTGTGGGTGGTGTCAACCTTGGGCTGGTGGTCCTGGGTTCTATAAGAAAACAAGCTAAGCAAGCCATAAGAAGGAGCAAGCCAGTAAGCAGCACTCCCCCATGGCCTCTGCATCGGCTCTTGCCTCCAGGTTCCCACCTGGTTTGAGTTCCTGCCTTGGTTTTCCTCAATGGACTGTGACTCAGGATAGGTAAGGCAAACAAACGCTTTGCTCCCTGTGGTAGTTTGAATGTAACTGGCCCCCAAAAGCTCACAGGGACTGGCACATCAGGTGTGGCTTGTTGGAGTAGGTGTGACCTTATTGGAGAAGTGTGTCACTGTGGGGATGGGCTTTGAGGTCTCAAGATACCGCCCAGTGTCTGAGATCACTTCCTGTTGCCTGCCAAAGATACCGGACTCTCAGCTATCTCTTCAGCACCATGTCTGCCTGCACAACGCCATGTCCCACCATGTAGTAGGACAGGCCCATAGGGTTGAGGAAATTGGCTCAAATAATGTCGAGTCTACCTGAGGGCCTCGCAACAGGCACTGTCGGAGTTATTGATCGTGCCCAGCCAATGAGGGATGATCACGCAATGCCACCAGATTAGGACACGGCTTGGGTGCTGGGAGGAGGGTATGTAAGAACTTCCCCGTTACTGAATAATGATGTCTGTGTCATTGACACTGCACCTTCTCACCCCTTCCCCTGAGGGAGCCATTAGGATCCAGCAACAACACCATGATGATAATGGACGAAATCTCTGAACTGTAAGCCAGCCAATTAAATGTTTTCCTTATAAGAGTTGCCATGGTCATGGTGTCTCTTCACAGCAATAGAAACCCTAAGACACTCCTCAAGTTGCTTTTTTTCCCTTGGTTTTTCAAGACAGGGTTTCTCTGTGTAGTTTTGGACCCTGTCCTGGAACTCACTCTGTGGCTTTTGATCATGGTGTTATATCACAGCAATAACAACCTAACTAAGACACATATCATAAGAACAAATTTATCTTTTAAAGAAAAACACTTCTTTTAAGTTGCTTTTTATATTATTTTTATTGTAGTTTTAATTTTTTCTTTTTTTTTAGACAGAGTCTCACTATACAGCCCTGGTTGCCTAGAACTCACTTTTATTTATTATGTACATGTACATGTGTGCCTGTCTGAGTTTATGTGCACCACAAGTATACACACACCCATGGAACCCATAAAAGGGTATTGGATGCCCCCTGAGCTGGAGTTCCACACAGGCAGTTGTGAGACACCCAATATGAGTGTTGGGAACTAAGTGTGAGTTCTCTGCAAGAGCAGTATGCACTCTTTTTTTAAAAGATGTTTTCATTTTTATTTTATGTGTATGAGTGTTCTGCCTACATGTAAGTGCACTACATGCATGCCTGGCCAGAGGAAGTCAGAAGAGGGAGCTGGAATTAGAGACATTTGTTAACTGCCATGTGGATGCTGGAACTGGAACCCAGGTTCTCTGCTAAAGCAGCAAGTGCTTTTAACCACTAAATCCTATCTCTGGCTTCCCTTAGATTGCTTCGGAATATTTTACTATAGCAAGAGAAAAAGAAACTAAGTTAGAAATTGGTACCAAGAGTGGGGTCATTGCTGATATAAACCTGGTTATATGGTCTTTAAGTCACTGAACCTGTTTTGTGGCTAGAATAAAGAAGAGTTTGGAACTGTGTATTTAAAAAGCTGGAAGCAGAGCTTAACAGGCCATTCTCGTGGGAACTTGGAAGGCAAGAATACCGAGGAAACTTGGACAGTGGGGGCCCACTCATGAGGTTTCTGAGGGGAGTAAGGATTCTATCAGGAACTGGGCTAGAGGCCATTAATGTACTGTTTTAGCCAAGAATGTGCTTTCATTCTGCTTATGTCCTGAGAACCTGAGAAAAGTTGAAAGCTAATGGACTAATTTGTTTGGCACAGGCCATTTCAAAACAAGAGAGCATTCAGGCCAGTGCTGAGAAAGCAGCTGTGACTGTTAAAGAACTCAGCACCATTGCAGAGATATCCTATCTGCACTTGCACAACAGGAAAGGGATCCTGAGGGAACATCTTACCCCTTGGAGGCCCATCTTGTGAAGACCCAGGTTCACTTAAGCTCACAGGCCCTGGAGCCCTTGAAAATTGAAGTGTATGGCTTCTTTGATTCTATAGGAGCTCACAGTTAAAGATTTTGGACTTAAAAAAAAGTGTTGATGGGTCAGCAGGGTAGCTCAGTGGGTAAAGGTGCTTGAAACCAAGCCTTATATTATATATAGCATGGCCATGAGCACGGTTAGCATGGTCACTTTAACAGATTTATAACCACCCAGGAGATGGGCCTTGAGCATGCCTGTGTAGGATAATCCTGATTATTTTAACTGAGGCAGGAGAATCAGAGTTCAAGGTCTGCCTCAGCTATATAGTCAGTCTGAGGTCAGTAAGGGCTATAGGACACTGCCTAGGAGGCAGTGGGGGGTGGGGTGGGAAGAAAATCAAAAGGAGAGTCCTAACTAACAATAAAGAGGGAAGTCGATCAGGTCATGGGGGAAAACTGTGCAGCAGCTGACAGTGCTCAAGCTCTGCCTGTATGGTGTTCTCCTTATACCTAAGGAAGTGGTGTGGGTACCCCTCCTCCTCCAAACATCCCAACTGGATCAGTCCATCTTTGGATCCAATAATGATTTTACAGGATATTCAGAGAGCCATATTGTAACCATGGAGCTACAATAGGTAAATTCCAGACAGAACAATATTTTATTTAAAAATATTTTTGAGCCGGGCGGTGGTGGCGCACGCCTTTAATCCCAGCACTCGGGAGGCAGAGCCAGGTGGATCTCTGGGAGTTCGAGGCCAACCTGGACTACCAAGTGAGTTCCAGGAAAGGCGCAAAGCTACACAGAGAAACCCTGTCTCGAAAAACCAAAAAAAAAAAAAAAAAAAAAAAAAAATATTTTTGAGGCAGAGTCTCATTCTATGGTGCTGAACTTGTTATATTTAAAAATCTTGTCCCAGCAGGGTATGGCAGCATTCAGCTATAATTCCAGTACTTAGGAGGCTAAGGCAAGGGGATTGACACAAGTTCAGGACTAGTCTGGGCTACACATTGAGTGCTGAGATCACAAGTTCATCTTCAGCTAGATAGTGTGCTTGAAGCCAGCCTGGGATACATGAGACATACCTCCCAAAGCAAACACACACACACATGCACACGCACACAAAGAGACAGAGACAGACAGAGACAGAGAGACAGACAACTGAGAATGTGATTCCATCACAGAGTCTGCCCAGCTCGCCCACGACCCTGGGTTCAGTTCACATCCTCAGTGCTAAGATTACAAGTTTGCTCACTACACTTAGTTTATGCTGTGCTGGGACTGGGGCTTCATGCATGCTGGCCAAGCAATCCACCAACTGAGTTAAATGCCGAGTTCCATTATCTAAAATTGTAATGGACTAATCAATTAGCTAACTTTGAGGTGGTTAAAAGAATTAAGAGATATGTAAACTAGAAACCTGACCTACCACTTAAGTGTATAACAGGCACTCAATAAACAGTAGCAAATACTACAAACTCTAGCCCATGTAAAATGTTAGAAATCTCAGCTGCAATTTCTGAAGATGAAGCACATCTGTGGGATAAAAAGAGCTGTTCTGGTGGAGCCAGGAGTCCACCAAGTCTCTCAACAGTCTGCAAGCAGACACTCCAGAGCAGTAGGACGTCTTGCTGAGACTGCCTACTTCACACAAGCAGAGCTCATTACTCCATCCCTGAAAGTCACTCCCAGGCTTGCGGGTCCTTCCCCCTTTGTCTTTCTCCCACCCACTCCTTAAGACTATGAGCTGCCTGAGGGCAGCGACTGGCTTACTTTTTATACTGAGTTACAAATAAATGTTTGTCAAATAAATATCCATCATATCCACAAATGTTAAAAATTGCTAAGCAGAGTCAATCCTCAAGAATTCTAGCATTTTCCTTCAACTAAGAGAAATGCAGGCGCCCCCATGGTGTTGGCAGCTCAGAACCAAATACCAAATGAAGTGAGAATTAATACAGTTCACACCCTGTCGTGCCTTATTTAAATCACCACCATTATACAAACATCACTGTCACCTGGCCCAATCCTGTTCCTGATGTTCTGCCCAAGGCTCCTCAGCAACTCCTACATTTCAGAGCAATTTCTTGGCACCCTGCTCAGGAAGTTAATTTGATTCAAAGTGAAAGCAAGAAGCTCTCACTTTAAGTTCTGCTTGTATCCTGCAAATTCCTCACATTCATGTGCCCGTTAGTTTTCTTTACCCAATGCTACAGACCAATCTCCTCTGCCTCCTCTGACAGAGACTAGGCAGGTACATTCTTGAGTGAGCTGGCTGGCTATGTGACCACACCGGTGAAGGCAAGAACAGGACAGTGCTCCCAAACGGAGAGAAATCTTTGACTTTAACAACAAGTAGGATGTCAACATACCAAACCACCACCAGCACCACCACCACCACCACCCCTTCTCTTCCTCAGTTAGTCCAGTATGGACAAATCTATAGCCGATTCTCCTCATAATCAACCGAGCCCAGCCTCCTGGACTCACTCACCACTCACTGCCTGCCTTTCTCTCTTTCTCTCTCTTTCTCTTTCTTTCTTTCTCTCTTTCTCTCTTTCTTTCTTTCTTTCTGTTTTGTTTATTTTGTTTTGTTTTATTTATTTTGTTTTGAGACAGGGTTTCTCTGTGTAGTTTTGGAGCCCTGTCCTAGATCTCGCTCTGTAGACCAGGCTGACCTTGAACTCACAGAGATCCACCTGCCTCTGCCTCCCGAGTTTTGGGATTAAAGGTGTGTGCCACCGATGCCTGGCCACTCACTGCCTTTCTGTGAGCCCACTCTCACATCCCTGTCCCTGAGGAAGTGACATGAGAGTTCTCACTTTCTGTTTCACAAGTAAGAGGCAAGACACCTGTAACAGCAGCAAGGAGCCATCTCAATGTCAAATGGTACAAGATGCCTGGGTTTTCTTCTTCACGTGGTCAGAGAAGTAGAAATCATTCTTCAGAACATTGTAAGATTAACATACAAGGGCTGGGATTATTCAGTGGACTCTGCAGGAAAAGGAGTTCCTACGACAGCCAGGTCAAACAGTTTCAGCTGTGGCTTTTGTTTGGGGCTGGGATATTCTAGTAGATTACTAGATCATAGCCAAGTTAGGTTTAATAGTTAATATAGCTAGCAGGAGGCTGAGGCAAGAGGACCATATGTTTAAGACCAGGTTGGGCTACACAGAACGTTCAAGACCATCCTGAAATACACAAAAGTCCCTGTCTCAAAAAAGCAACAATAATAATAATCACTGTAACTACAGCTTTACCTGGAACCCTGGATCTCAAGAAATAGAGAAATTTCCCATTCTTGGAGTGCATGATGGCTCTCTTAATGAACTCTACCACAGACTGACAGCGATCCTCAAACTTGGGATGGCACCATAAGCTGAAGGTTCCTGAAATGGAAAATTAAAGAGTAAATTTACAAACGTTTTTGGTGGGGAGTGGTAAGACATTCTCATCATCTCAGCACTCATGGATCTAAGGTAGAAAGATGTGAGTTAAAGCCAGACTGGGCTATATAGCAAAACTCTAAAAATTAAAACAAACAAACAAACAACCTCAAATGATCTGGGAGGCTGGTGTGAACATTTTAATTTTTTAATTAAATTCTTCTTTTTTATTGGTATTTCGAGATAGGGTTTCTCTTTTTAGCCCAGGCTGTCCTGGAACTCACAGAGATCCACCTGCTTCTGACTTCCGAGTGCTGGGATTAAAGGTGCATGCCACTACCACCTGGCCTAATAATTAAATTTTTAAATTTTTTAAAAATAATTTTTAGCCGGATGGCAGTGGCACATACCTTTGACCCCAGCACTCGGGAGGCAGAGCCAGGTGGATCTCTGTGATTTCGAGGCCAGCCTGGTCTACAGAGCGAGATCCAGGACAGCCACCTAAACTACTCGGAGAAACCCTGTCTTGTAAAAACAAAAACAAAACAAAACAAAAAAAAAAACAAAACTAAAATCAGTCTTTCCTTCTTGAGCTTCTTCTAAAACCCACACCCAGAATCCTGGCAAGTTCCTACCTCCTCCAACTCCAGAGCCCCAAAGTTAAAGGAGAACCTGAACTCCTATGACTTAATAAAAAAAGACCACATTCATGATAACGAGTCATTTCAGGGAACTGCAGAGCAGAGTCTTTGGAGTTACTCTTGTGGTATCACTAAAAATGATGAGGGTATGTCCCACTGCCAACAGGCACCAGAAACAAAGCTTCTTTCTAACAATCCCATTATGTAAGAAGAAAGGACCTTTAACGAAGAAGTCACTGGAGTAGTACTTAGGAGAACTCTCACTTCCTCGCCTCTCATGAACCTAAAGTATTCATCTACCATTCCCAGAGTCTAGACAATTATCAGTCCAATAGTTTTAATAAAGGACCTCATTCTAAAATACTTTATTTCATATTTGGTTTATCTGTCATTCTGCTTTTTTAGAACAGCAAAAAAATAGGTAGCAATGGTTTCTTACTTCTTGCAACATTTATCTAATCCATGGCTGCTTCTTTTTTTTTTTTTAAAGATCTATTTTTAGTGTGTGTGTGTGTGTGTGTGTGTGTGTGTGTGTGTGTGTGTGTGTGTGTCTGTGTCTGTGTTCCTGTGTTCCATGTATGTAAGGGTACCCATGGAGGCCAAAAGAAGGTATCAGATCCCCTAGAACTGGAGTTATGAACAGTTGTGGGCCACCTGACATGGATGTTGGGAACTGAACTCTGATCCTCTGGAAGAGCAGCAAATGCTCTTAACCACTGAGCCATCTTTCCTAATCTAATTTATGGTTTATTTTTTGGGGGTGTGGGGGTGGGGACTTCAAAGCAGAGTCTCTCTCTGTAGCCCAAGCTGTTCTGGAACTCACTCTGTAGACCAGGTTGGCCTAGATCTCACAGAGATCCGCCCATCTCCGCCTTCTGAGTGCTGGGATTAAAGCCATATGCTACCACCTCCTGGCAATTCATGGTTTTTTTTTTTTTTTTTTGAGACAGGATTTCTCTGTGTAGCCTTGGCTGTCCTGGAACTTGCTCTGTAGACCAGGCTGGCCTTGAACTCACAGAGATCTACCTGCCTCTGCCTCTGCCTCCCAGTGCTGGGATTAAAGGTGTGCACCACTACTACTACTACTACTACTACTACTACTACTACTACTACTACAACCACCACTACCACTACCACTACCACCACCACCACCACCACCACCACCACCACCACCACCACCACCACCAGGCTACTATTTTTATATAAAGAATTAAATTGCCGGGCGGTGGTGGCGCACGCCTTTAATCCCAGCACTCGGGAGGCAGAGCCAGGCGGATCTCTGTGAGTTCAAGGCCAGCCTGGGCTACCAAGTGAGTTCCAGGAAAGGCGCAAAGCTACACAGAGAAACCCTGTCTCGAAAAACCAAAAAAGAATTAAATCTTGGGCTGATCATGATGGCACACACCTTTAATCCCAGCACTCAGGAGGCAGAGGTAGGCAGATCTCTGAATTCTAGGCCAGTCTGTCTACATAGTGAGTTCCAGGACATCCCGGGTTATGTAGAGAGATCGTCTTAAAAAAATAAATAAATAAATAAATAAATAAATAAATAAATAAATAAATAAATAAATAACAATAAAAAAGAATTAAGCCGGGCGGTGGTGGCGCACGCCTTTAATCCCAGCACTCGGGAGGCAGAGCCAGGCGGATCTCTGTGAGTTCGAGGCCAGCCTGGGCTACCAAGTGAGTTCCAGGAAAGGCGCAAAGCTACACAGAGAAACCCTGTCTCAAAAAAAAAAAAAAAAAAAGAATTAAATCTTGGCTAAATGAGACTGCAGGATGTAGAACACCTTCAACAATTTTTAGAGTTGACAGATATTTGAAACTGAATGTTGTGCTATCTGCCTACAGTCTTAGCACTTAGGAAGCAGGGGCAAGGGTCAGGAGTTCAAATCCAGTCTTGGTTATATGGTGAGTTCAAGGCAAGTCTAGGCTACATGAGATCCTATCTCAAACAAACAGGCCTAGGGCAATGCTCAGTGGCTAAACCACTTGCCACACAAGCATGAGGACCTGAGTTTTGATCCATAGAGTCCATGTAAAGCTGATGTGGTATCACATGTCCATGTCTCCAACACTCCTAGGCAGGGACAAGAAAGATCCCAGAAGGCCAACTACACTGATGTATGTTGCACTAGTGAACAGGAAAGCCTGTCTTAAGATGAAAGGTACAGACTAACATGTAAGACAGTTGTCATGTAAGACAGTTGTCCGCTAACCTCACAGGCACACTGTAGCTCACTGTCTGTCTGTCTGTCTGTCTGTCTGTCTGTCTGTCTCTCTCTCTCTCTCTCACACACACACACACACACACACACACACACACACACACACACAAAGGCTGGAGAGTTGGCTTAGAGGTTAAGAGCACTCACTACTTTTTGCAGGGTTTAGTGCCTAGCACTCATATCAGGCCACTCATAACTGCTGATAATTCCAGCTCCAGGAAACCTAACACCCTCTTTAGGTGGTCATACACATATGCTCAGGCCCACACATAAAACAAAAATAATGAAATAAATAAAAACTTAAAAAGGAGGTCAGGGGACTAACTCAGCAAAGGCAGGAAAAGGCAAGCTGGAGGAAGGCCTTCTCCAGCAGCAGCACCTCTCACCTCTATAGTGCTCCATCCTCGTGTGATGGGTGATACCCTGTGATCGAAAGCTGAGGCTCAGGATGTAACGGGGATCAGAGCTGTCTCGTACCAGGAAAGAACCATCTGGCTTCCCTTTCAGCTTCATCTCTGCATCTTCCCAATTCATAGGACCCCAATACCAGCCACACTATAAAAGACAGGAAACAGTAAAGGAGTGAACAGAGAAATGCCAATATCTTGGGCACACTCTATCTTACCAGGGGAGATTATCTGAGAAGGTAAAAGCCATTAAAACACTTGTGCCAACCATAGCAGTGAAAACCAGGCTCCTTATGCTTTAGTCCTCGCGGCACCAGAAGACTAATTCTACATTTTATTACCAATGGTCCTACAAGGACAAGAAGGAACTGGGTCAGTTTACCTCGCATAACCATCTTAGAATATTCCAAATACATCTCTACAGTCCTCCTTCATTGGGTCTAACTTTTTCCCTCCAAATTTGGTCTTCTTACCTTTCCTATGGAGTGAACAAGAGCCTACTGTCTAGCCACTGTGACTAGAAGCATAGAAACTCCTCTTCCTCTAAAAACCGAAGGACAGCCTAGGCCTAGAGCTCAGGTGTGGGAGGAAAGGTGAGCTGCCAGCCCTCAGGCATCACATCACCTACCTTCTCCAGCTCTCGAAGGCTGGCTGCAAAGCTGCTTGAGTCGGGCCGGTAGAGGGGACACTGGAGGTGCTGAGAGGGCTGGCTGTGCAGGGATTCTGACGCTCTGATGGGAGTGATCCGGGGAAATGCATCTGCGGGGCAAGAGAACGGAGGAGACCACTTGTTTTATCTCCACTGCTCCCACTCACAGGCAGACTTCCCCACCCCACAAAAAAAAAAAAAAAAAAAAAAAGGAGAGAGAGAGAGATGCTAACTGAAGGAGGGCAGGCATTAGACGCTAAGCTGGGGAGGGTGGACGCCAAAGCGGTGGGAAGAGCTGGATGGGCTGGAACAAAAAGCTGTGTGGGCTCGTGGAAGCTGTGAAGGATGGGGGGGCATTCAACCCCAGGAAAGCAGTCGGGAGCCGCTCACTAACCTGACTAAGGTGACTACTTCAGGGGCTTCACCAGCCTAGAGCGATTCCAACTTCTCCCACCTCGAAGTGAAGTGCCTACGGTAAAGCAGCCTTGGAAATAGCGACTCTCTTACTTGCCCAGGGACAGTAATGATTTTGCCAGGCAAGTAGAAAAGAATGCTGATTTCATTCATTTTATTCCTTGGGTACCGGAGGCTGGCAAAGCAGGTATGGGCTACTAAATGCTTGGTACTTATTTACAAGGCTGCGGTAAATACCAAAAAGCTTAGAAAAAAATACAGAATTCTGATAACCAGCAACATAGTCAACCTCTTCACTGAACTGACATTAAGGCAGTTTCTTAAGTGATATCTATTCAGAGACTGCAAAACAGCCCCAGAAGCAGGGACCAAACATCCCAGTCTTTTATTTCTAAGAAAAATAAGATTTACTTCCAGAAAGAAATAGGTTAGAAAAAAACTATGTTTTGGACTCATTTTCAAGTTCTAGTCTAGCTAAGGGGATAAAGATCTCCTAAACTGTAATTTCCATAAACAGGCTTCTCCCATCCTTCCACTCTTACAAGTCTTGCCTCTCAGCTAAGCTAACCTGGGGCGTGGGGTGGAGGAGGCGGAGGTAGGGGGAAAGACTGCAAAGAAGAGCCCATCGGAGCCACAAGGACAGATGTAGGCAGCGTCCCACTGATATCATCTAGAAGAGAGAACAAAAGCAAGGGCTTCAGCAAAGAGCACACAACAGCACGGGAAGGCAGAGGAGGAGAGGAGGTCAGGCTGCCGCCCTCTGGGGCAAGGTAGGCCGGCCTTCACTGGTCATCTTTATGAACCAAGGCAAGTCATCCTAGCCAGCTTTGCTTGGCTTAGAAACTGGGAAAGTGATGTACTCCTAAAACAGCTCAGGAGCAGCACACTGAGGGCAAGGGAGATGTGAACTGGTCAACATGTGGACAATAAATACTGCTGCATGCAGATAAAATGCCCCCCATTTACGTGCCTACAGATATGACAGAGGTGGAGAAAGGGATGGGGAATAATTGGGTCATCAATAGAAACCCAGAAACTAATCTGGCTCCTGACAAAAGAACAAGTCCCTAGAGCTCACCCTCCCTCTAGGGCAGGACGGCAAAAGGGCAGGTCAGAGACTATACCTAGGAGGCTGAGGCTTCTTCTTGGAGGAGGAGGGGGAGTTGGAGGGTGTGGAGAGGTCAGGCCCCGCTGAGAAATGTCCACATCCACAAGCGACACTGTCTCACCTGAGGGAGTCACACAAGCATGTTACAGAAGCCCCATGTCCAAAGCTGAGACCAAAAGGAGAGAGAAACAAAGGGCAAGCAAAGGAGGCCAGAGGGCTGAGGGCCAAGGGTCCCAAAGCTTTGCGTCTGATGCTCTCCAGGCTGGCATTACCACAGCACCAGTCGATTTAGAATCCAGTTGTTCTCGGGTTAGTGTGCTGGCTCAGAGGTTAAGAGGCTGGCTGCTCTCACCATGGACCCAGGTTTGCTTCTCCACATTCACATGGTGGCTCATAACCATCCTTAACTCCAATATCAGTGGATTCAGCACCCTCTTCTGGCTTCCACAAGCACCAAGCCCACATATAGGACACACATACATGTAGACGAAACAACTTACATACATAAAATAAGAAAAATAGGGATGGTATAATGGCTCAGTAGGTAAAGGGACTTGCTAACAAACCTGATAATCTGAATTCAACCCCCAAGCCCTGCATGGTGGAAGAAAAGAACTGACTCCTTTTTCCCCGAGACAGGGTTTCTCTCTGTAGCCCTGGCTGTCCTCAAACTCACAGAGATCCGCCTGCCTCTGCCTCCCCAGTGCTGTTATTAAAGGCGTGCACCACTACCACTGCCCTAGCAAGAACTGACTCTTGATAATTGTTCTGACTTCTACATTTGTGATATGGCACAGAATCAATAAATAAAATGTAAATAAAAAAGGAATAAAACAATAAAACCTAAAAATTTTCTTTTTAAATCCTATCATTCCAGGGCCAGAGAGATGGCTTGGGGTGAAAAGCACTGGCTGCTCTTCCAGGACCAAGATTTGATTCTCAGCACTCGAACAACAAGCAGTACCGGCCTGTCTGTAACTCAAGCTCAACATTTCTGACGTGCTCTTATAGCTCCACGACACCAGGCCGTAAGTGGTACACAGACATACATATACACAAAATACCCGTACATATAAAATAAACATTTCAGAAATAAAAATCTACACAATTTTAATCCCAACACTGAGGAGGCAGAGGCAGGTGGATCTCCTAGTTCAAGGCCAGCCTGGTCTACAGAGTGAATTCTAGGACAGCCAGGGCTACACAGAGAAACACTGTCTCGAAAAACCAAAAAAAAAAAAAAAAAAAGACTGGCATTTTAAATCTAATTAATGTTTTTTGAGGTAGGGTCTCACTATGTAGCCCTGATTGGCCTGAACTCACGACATAGATCAACTGGCCTTGAACTTGGCAATCCTTCCTCTACCTTCCATGTGGTGGAATTACAGGAGTAGGTAGGTTTACAACATCCAACCAAAGACTATTTTTTAAAGAGCTTCTCAGTCACAACCAAGTAGGGCAGCTGGCTTCTCAAGATTTGAGACAATATGAAAAAGACCTTTTTACAGCTTCTACTCAACCAGGAGCTTTATATGACTGACAGAACAGAAGGTCTCTCTCTCTCAAAAGTTCCCCATAATATCAGATGGCATGGCAGTGACCCATTACCAAAAGGACATTCAACAGTCTCCTTCTTAAGCAACTGTGTTCCCTGCTGCAAGAGGACACACTTAAATTAGACACACTGAAGAACACTAACAGCTGCACGAACTGCTAACCCTAAAATGGTAGACGACAAAAGCTCACACAAGCCCCTTTGCCCTAGTCTTTAAACTAGACCAGATGCTCATGGGTCATTTTTTATTAGATAATCTATGAACTTCCTCGGAAGCTGGGACAGGAATTATGACTTCAAGAAAGTCTTTTATGCATTGCAAGCCTATATCTTTGTAATTCTTGCCTTTAATTTACATGTAATGACCCTGAACTTCATAACTGCTACGGCTACCCAATTACCAAGAAGCAAGCATCTTTACCTTCAAGCATCTGAAATCAAAGGCACACTCCATATACCATAAAAACAGCCTCACCCCAAACCCAGGGGGCACGGAATGAAGGAATTACTGCAGACGGCCTGGAAGGTGCCTGGAGCTCCCCCAGCAAGGCATGTGCAAGCGTGTTCCCTGACAGAACACTCCCACTCTCAGTTATCAGAAAAAGAGAAAGACGTGATCCTTACCTGTGAACAAGGGGCTGAAAGAGACCGGAGAAAAGGCACTTTGAGTTCTTGTCAACCTGGGTTTCCTAGGAAGTAAGAAAGTACACAGAGAATAAAGGGGGAAAATGAACACATATGCACTTAAATCACTAACACTGGATTCCAGATGTCCTGAAATACAAAGCAAACCCTTTATTACAGATATGTTGGCAACACTTCCGTAATAAAGCCTAAAATTTAAAGGAGAATGAAATACATTAAAGCAATTCCTTAAATAGATTTGGCTTCACCAGCCTAAAAAGCAATAGCAATCCCTTTGGATCCTTCCATGCCCAGTACATTAAGACCAAGCACCTTGAGTGGTAATTACTAAGTCTATTTCATAGGAAGGACGCTGGATGTAGAGTTGACTTTCGTGTGAAAGCCAAGCAAAAGGCTTTAGGCCTGAGTAGTTGCCAGCTTGGAGTAACAGCTTTCCCTCTGGGCCTGACTCTAAGAGAAAAGGTTCCAAATGGAGTCAGGGAGCCAGGGAGCACACCCTGGCCTGAGCATCACACTAAGACACACTGCCGTCTTCATCGGTGAATCCCTCTCTGTCCATGGCCCTGGGATATGAGCCTAGACCATGGCTAACAGGGCCTTCTTCTGCCTGTACCCAAGTACACCCTCCCCCAAGTCACACAGCTCTGCCTCGATGCTCCCCAGCAACCATTCAATTACACACCAAGGTACCAACTATACCTCCTTCAAGTAGCTTTTCAGCAAACAATGAAGAACAAGAGATGCCAACACAGACTTTCCAGGCACGAATGTATTAGCCTTAAAACATTTTGTCATTCACTTCAAGATGACGAAGATTTTACTGAGGTGATACAAAGAGGATATGGGCTGATGAAAGGTGAGGGTAAGTTCTGATAAAGTCTAAAATCCCATCCCAGAATTGACTGACACTAGACATTACACTTATAGCTTCACAATGACTGACTGCAGGTGTCATGGCTGGCTCACCCCCTAGACGTATTGTGATACAAAGGATCAGATGGAAAGTAAACTCTTTTTAACTCTCCACTGCACCAGCAGAGTGAGAAGCACACAGAAAATAAGGGAGAAATGAACACCACACAAGTGTTTAAATCACTGAACTCTGCATTCCACATGTCCTGAGACACGAGGCAAACCCTTTATTACAGAAGAAAAGAAAATCTAAAATGAAGTCCTATTCAAAATTATTTGTTTTTAAGGGCAGTAGTGGTACACCCCTTTAATCTCAGTACTCAGGAGGCAGAGGCAGGTGGATCTCTGTGAGTTTAAGGCCAGCCTGGACTACAAAGAGAGTTCCAGGACAGTCAAAAATGAAAAAGAAAAACAAAACAAAAGCTTATTTGTTTTCAGGGCCAAGGTGTAGTCTAGTTGGTAAAGCACCTGCCTATCATGTACAATGTCCCAAATTCAACCCCAGTTGTTTTGTTTCCCCAAACAAAACAAAAGCATGGTTTTTTAAATGTGTATTTGATTTTATTTATATACATGTGTGTTTGTCTACCACATGTATATGGGTGGCCATTGAGGCCAGAAAAGGATATGGGACCCCTGAACTGCAGCTTTAGGCTCTATGAGCTACTTTGGATGCTGGGAACTGAGTCTGGTCCTCTGGAAGAGCAATAAGTGCTCTTAACCCTCGAGCCATCTCTCCAGCCTCAAAACAAAAACAAAAATGAAAAACATGTTTATGCTTCTTTTTTTGTTTTGTTTTGTTTTGTTTGAAACACAATCTCATGTAGCCCAGACTAGACTCTAACTCACTTAGTAGGTGAGGATGAGCTTGAACTCATGATTCCTTTGCCTCTATCTCTCAAGTGCTGGGTCTACAGGTGCATGCCAGTATGCCCAGCTTTGCATTTTTGTTTCAACTTTTTAGATTTTACATTTTTTTTTCAGATTTTTATTCATTTTAATTATGTAGAAAGAGCTCAGAACTGGATTTGGTGCTACATACTTAACAGTCCTAGCACTTGGGAAGCAGAAACAGGAGGACTCTCACAAGTTCAAGGGTTAGTTTGGGCTATAAAACAAGACTATAGCTTTAGAACAGCAACAACAACAACAAAAAAGGCACAAAACCTTTAACACTCCTTTAGTTCCAGCACTTGGGAGGCAGAGGCAGGTCTCCGTGAGTTCAAGCCAGCCTGGTCTATATAGTGAGTCCCAGGGCCAGCCAGGGCTACACAGACCCTGTCTCAAAGAAGGAAAGAGATGAAACACAGGCAGCTTCCTTCCCAGAGGTCTGATAACCCACACTTGAAACATCCACAGCCCACACAGGGACACGGCCACATAAAAACAAGCTACAAGCACACATGGCTTCCGTTTATAAAAGTTGCTCATGACTACAGCTTAGTGCCAGCAACCCAAAGGACGAGAATGGAAAGTTAATTCCACTGGACATGAACTTAAAGCAGCCGAGGGGCTTCCAAGCTGACTTTTATTTTATAACTTGTGGGTATAACATTAAACTCAGCAAGTAGACACCCAAAGCACTGGCCTTTCAAAAGGTTCACACCTCAGCCAGTTGGCAGTTTGCCTCTTTTCAAAGGAAACTGCATCACTGTGCCATCTGCCCATGCTGGGGACGAGTCTCTTTAGTGCCAAGCTCTGAAGAACGGCAGTACCCAAATGCACACGTCTTGCGGAGGCCTTCTCACTCCAGCTCATCTTCTCCCCCACCCCCGACATTTTGAAGAAGAAAAATCATAGTTTCTAAGATCTAGAAAAAGAAAAACATCTGAATTTAAACCCAGGCAGAGCCATCTCAGAGTGCTAGATGGTTTTTGCTGGCAAAGAAGGGTGCTTCGTGGCTTGAAGCTAAAAGGTAAAAGGTCTAAGAGGTTGAGAGGCTAATAATAAATATGTGTGCTTCCTTCTCTCTTTGGGAGGATGCTGCCTAACTAAAAACCCATTTTCTATCTCAAGGACCCTGTGAGCATTCTGATGAAAGTCTAATAAAAAGGCCAATCTAGATGACTGAAAAAACAAAGCAAGGAAATGATCTCACACAAAACTAAGGATGGCAGTTACCTGGGGGCCTGGGAGGGGGCATAACGAGAAGAGCAACCCTTGAGTCTAGATAAAATATGGATAATACTATACCTGTTTGCTAAGCTTAATGAGTACCTGGATATATATTTATTACTTTAGTACATATATTTTTTAGATCTCCTTTTATATATAGAAAATATCTGGGATGATAAAAGCCCATTTCTAAGATGATAAGATAGTTTTGGAAAGCAACAAGAATAACAGATGAATTTTTCTTTTTGAGACAGGGTTCTCATGTTGGCTCTGAATCCAATATGTAAATGAGGATGACCCTGAACTTCTGACCCTTCTGCCTCTGTCTCCTCAATGCTAAGACTACAAGCATGTACCACCATACACTGTGTATGAAGTACAACATGCCCGGTTTATGTAGTGCTGGGGACTGAACTCAGGGCTTCATTCATTAAAGGCAGGTACTCTACCAACTAAGCTACATACATACATCCTAGGCCTCCAAATAAACATATTTTGTAGTGCTGCTAGGAATCCAATCCAGAGCTTTCAACATACTAAACAAGCACTCTACTGATTAAGCTACATCCCCAGCCCAAATACACATTTCAAAATAACCCTCCATACTACACTCATGGGTTGGTTATTCATGACTTCTCACCTCACCTTGAAAAACACTGGGGTACAAAATTAAAGTACTTTTAACTCTGCCAGAGGGCCACTTGCATCTTAGAACAGACTCACTGGAGAAGGATTTGGTAGGTCATGACTCAAGCAACAGGACAGATGGCTTTAGGTGAGTCTTTTTGGGGGCTTGCTGTCCTTGAGTCAGGTAAGTCATTACCTGAGTTGTAGGTAAGAGAATGTCTCTGTCCATTTCCATTCTGCAAACTATAATCTGCATTGCGACATATTAATGAGATAAAAGGAATTAGAAGCGCTAGACTAAACAGGACAATAGCACAAAGATGTAATCACTGGCCACTTTTCAAATTCCTAGGAACCTAAAATCAAACAATGAATCATGTCTACCACTCCTGTCCATTAATCCCTTTATCCCTAAAACTTACAAGTACCCTTTCCTAAAATGCCTTCTACACTAGGATGTCCAAATACTAGATTGTGTAGCTCCAATACACCTCTGCCCCTGCTAATGCACTCAGTGCCAAGAGAGGCAGCCTGTGCCATTTCCAACACGTCATAAGCCAGTGTGTCTGTTCGTGTGCTACAGGCACAAAAACCATGTGTTCATTTTTAGTTCCAATACACAGACATCTGTGCAGCAAGGTCAGATCCAAAACTCCATCGTAAACCAACTCAAAAACCGATGGAGGGAACTTCTAGGGATAAGCCAAGGGGTGTAGTCTAATGCCTAAAACCTCAGGAATGATGTTGGCAAGCAGAATGTCAAAGGCACAAGACTCAAGTGGACAGGCAAAAATTTTAAAGCCAGAGAATTTATTCTGAGAGCTGACAATCATAAGCAGTTTGTAAAAAGATAGTTTAAAAGGCCAACAGAGTGTGAAACAAAAACCCAAACATAGCTCACGACACCACACTATCACCTTGCTCTCGGCATGTCATGTTATGACTCAAAAAGGCGCCAAAACAGTTACCCTGTTATGGTAACACATGACTATGATTCCAGCACCGAGGAGATGGAAGCAGGAGGATCAGATCAAAACCAGACTTGAACACATACATAGTAAGTTTGAAGCCATCCTGGGCTATATGAGACCAGGCATAATGGTATATATCTATAATCCCAGAGCTCAGGAAGCTGAGGCAGGAAGATCGGCTCAAATTGGAAGCCAGGCTGGGCTACATGGTGAGTTCAAGACCAGTCCAGACTGCATTGTGAGAGTATCTCAAAAAGGGGCTGAGGAGTGAATCAGCAGCTGTTACTTGCTGCTCTTCCAGAGGACCTGGAAGAGGTTTGGTTCCCAGCACCCAAACTGGGCAGCTCACAACTGCCTGTAATACCAGATATATGGGATTCAAAGTCCTCTTCTGACCTCATCGGACACCTACATATATGTGCACATACATACTGACATACACATTTTTAAAAATTCTTGTTTAATAAAACCAAAAGTAAGAATAAAGAAACAAAACAGCAGCAAAATACACCCCTTCCCCTGGATCTCAAGACCCAAAGAAACAGTAAGTTTCTGATGTTGGCCAAGTCTACCCACGACAGTCAAAGAAGCCTCTCCATCCAGAATTGCACCTTTTTTCCCAAACAAATCAAAAATCACTACAGAACTGCTCTCCATTTCTCCACTACACAACTGTAAAGACTGCCAGGAATAGCCTCAACTGTGAAACTCAGTAAACAATCCTAAGGACCAGGTACCTATTCCCAACTGAGTGTGTTAGTGTGTAACATTTCAAACAGGGCAGATAGATGTTATTTTTCACCAAATCTGAAGGAAGACAATCAGCTCAGCATATGTGAAACAGACAAGGGGACTCCACTGGTTTTCCTGAAATAGCAAAGTTCTATATTATACCAAGGCCCACAGGCATGAAGCCCAGCTCTCTGAATTCTGACATATGTGTGGTATGAGGCCTAGCCCAGCTCCTCAGTACAGAAACCTGATTAGTTGGCAGGCTCAATCTTACTTCATTTTAAAGAATTTTCAAAGCTAACTCATACTGTTTTTTTTTATTATTATTATTTTATTTACTTGAAAAGAAATTTTTGAGACAGGGTCTTCCTATGTAGCTCTGGCTGACCTGTGACTTGTTATATAGACCAGGCTGGCCTCAAACTCAGATATCTGCTCACCTCTACCTCCTGGGTGATGGGATTAAAGGCAAGTGCTACCACCACCTGGCGACATTTATTTCTTTTTAAGAGGTTAGGGGTGGGTGCATATGTGCCACAGCAGGCATGTGGAAATCAGAGAGAACCTGTAAGAGTCAGTTCTCTCCTTCAACCACGTGGGTCCCAGAGATTGGCTCAAAACTCAAGTCATCAGGCCTGGCAGCCAACACCTTTACCTGCTGAGCACCTTGTTGACCCCCATACTCCTCTTTTACTTTTAAAGACTTATAGTTTTTACGTGTGTGTGTGTAAGCCATTATTTCTTAAGACTCGTACATCTGGGCAGGTCCACGTAAGCAAATCCAAAGCATGTGAAAGAAGTCGAGGTGTTCACCAATAGAACATGCAGACTGCTAAGCCTTATAAAAATGATTGTTAGGAAATACTTTCTCATCAAAAGCGAGAGCTGTGGGAAAAGTGTAGATGGCAAAGGCAGATGTTGAGAAGAGTAAAGAGAATTATGCCTAGAGGTTACCATAAATGCCCCAAATTACATAGCAAAGCCAGCAGAGACCCATAATTAACTTCAACCAACAATGATGTGGAAGCCTCCTAACTGGCAAAGGGCTGAAATTTCCCAGTGCTTCAGGTACTACCATTTAAAACAAGAGAACATGTGAAAACTCCGAGCTACTGTTCTTCCCAACAAGGGAGGGCTTGCTTAGGAGACGCAGACCCACAGAAATCACAACCACCCTGGCCAGACTTACCAAGGTTCTCACAGCCTCGAGGCTGCCAGCACGACTGGCACATAATAAGCATGGAAAAGCTAGCAAGCAGCACCAAAGCTTAGCACAGGAAAAAAAATGTACCAATTCAATCTTATCACTTTTCTTCCAAAAAGCACAAAATATTCCATCCAGTTTTCTCGTCTTCCTTCTATTCCTATAAGGACATGAACAAGACAATTTATAGCTGTCCCATTTCACAGATGAAAATGACAAATCTGCCCTCCATCTCACAGCTAATGCTGAAGTTCCAAATGGAATCCAGACTTTCCTAATTCTCTATACAACATGCTGCCTCCAAATAGCAGTCAACCAAATGTTTACACACAAATACCTAGCTCTTCTCCAATTCATCAGAAAAAGCTCTTGGACCAAAAAATGTATTTCTCCAGTGCCCTGAACTAAGCTTCTTTGCAGAGGTACAGCCTAATTTGCTCTGCAGCAGAAATCTGTATTGTGCTTAGCGTGAGGGTTGGTGATAGAGCAGCCAATGACCATTAAATTCTGCTTCCAAAGGCAAAAAACCGTACAATGTTATATGCCTTTTCCACTTCCTAATCTATTAGACGTAGCAGCTAATTTCACGCCACACCTCATACTCCACGTCTCGGGAATCTCAGACCAAGTCCTGGTCAATGTGCAACAAAGGCAAGACAAACCCCAAGAAAATTATCAGTCCATCCTATGTAATTACCCACAGCTTCAATCCTGCTGTCCACCCTCAGCTGAGCAAATTTCATCCATATTGGTTAAGTGGAGCATCAAATACAGAAACTACCACTGTTAGGGGAAAACTGTTCCAGCAGCCACACACTTGTCAAGACCTGAGCTCTCAGCAAGAGTTCACACCCCCCCACCCCAAAAAAAGGACAGACTACCAGGGATTTGGGTTTGGTCCATGGCACAGCTATTTCTGAGTATCTGACAGAACATACACCTTTTATCTTGGAGTACTCAAGTTCCCTTCAGAAATCCACATCCAAGAATGAGTGGTTTGCATCCAGGATCAACTGGGGAACATTAAAAAAATTCAAATAGGGGCTGGAGAGATGGCTCGGTGGTTAAGAGCACTGGCTGCTCTTCCAGAGAACTCAGGTTCAATTCCCAGCACCCACATGGCAGTACATAACTGTCTGTAACTCCAGTTCCAGGGGATCCGACACCCTCACACAGACATACGTGCAGGCAAGACATCAATGAACATAAAATAAAAAATTCTAATTGGGCCCCAGATATACTTACCTTTCACCCCAACCCCAAGAGATTCTAGTGCTCAGCAAAGTTATCAATGTATCTGCTTTTTGGCTCTGGTTTGTCACTGTCAGTATGTGTCAAGAACATGTCATATAAACCACACCAAGACCAATTCCAGCCAGGCAGGTGGCAACAGGCCTCTAATCCTGGCACCGGGAAGGCTGACTCAGGACTGAGGAGGATGAAATAGGAAGATCAAGAGATCTAGACCAGTCTGGGCTATACAGTGGATTCAAAGCAAGCCTGATCAGCATAATAAAACCTCGTCTCAAAACAAAAGCCACCAATTCAAGTCCAAGACAGAGTCAGAACTACAATTCACAATCACAGTTCTACCACAAGGTAAGTCTCATTAGTGGATTCAATAGCTAACAGCTTTCTAAACTGATACTACAAAACTATGCTCTTATGTCAAAAGTCCATTCACTTTTTAGAAATTGGGGGGGGGACCTCAAAGTCTAAGTTTGGAATTGTTATTAATTGGCCTAGAATTCAATGTGTATACCTCACTGAGCACTATCAACATCTGTGTGAAAGTGAGAGAGCAAGCATAAAGCTATTCTCGGAATGTGGTCAGCACACACGCTTTAGATAGCAAACATCTAAGAACAACCGGAAGAATATTAAGAATGGAGATGCCCAGCTGATTGTTGGCCAGATTCCCCAGGCCATTTTGCATGCATATACGTGTGAAGAGAGTGGGGGCAGGTGCACAGTGAGACTAGGCAAGATGGCCAAGATAATAATAGGCAAGTGATTGACACTAGCTCTTTGGCCCCAAGGCCACACATTTCCAGCAACTTCCCAGCAGTGTTAGTAATGGCAGACAGACACCGGGGGTGGAGGTGGGAAGCTTAAAAAGTGGGGCCAGTACAGGAATGGTGGGGCAGGGCTTCAAATCATTCCCAGCAAGAGACGCTAACCCACTGAGTGTGTCACCGAGTGCGAACCCTCCAAGAGTGAAAGCTGTTTCCACAATTAGCTCTGATCTAATCGAGATGTCACCACCTTTAGTCCCAAGTGTCTGCCTTCTCCAGAAGTCCACAGCTTGAGAAGTGACAGTATTGTGTTAGCAGCAGTAGGGGAAAAGAGAGAAACGAAATAAGAAATGGAAGTTTGTCGCCTGCCCCCCGGCCCCAGCCAATCTCACCTCCCCGCATCCAGCTCCCGGCCCGTAGAGCCTCCCATGTCCGTCAGGCTCGCAGCTGAAGCTGCCAGATCTCCAGAAGGCCTCTTGCCGGTCCCATCCCCACTGCCTGAGCCGCCGTTGCAGCTCTTCGTGCGAAACAGGCGACTGAGGCGGATTTTGAAGGAGCCCTTTCGAGAAGGGCCCGCGAGAGGCCGGAGGGGCCCGGGAGGCGGCGGTGGGGGGGGAAGTTGCTGCTGCTGCTGCTGCTGTTCCCCTCGGCTCAGGCGCCCTGGAGGGACCAAGTCTTGCAGCGGGAAGGGCACCGGGGGTAGTTCGGGGCCCGGGGGCTGCAGCAGAAGCCGGCCACCCCCTCCTCCTCCTCCACGGCCCGGGCTGCTGAGCTCCTCTTCTGAGCAGCTGTTAGTCTCCAGGCTCTCGGCCTCCGATTCCAAGCCTTCTAGGACCAGCAGCGCGTCGCTCGTCTCCGTGGGGTCCTCCCCGGCCTGCGGGGCGGCAGCAGGCGGCGGAGGCTGCGGCGGCGGCGGCTGCGGGGGGCACGGGCACGGGCAGCAGCCTCCGCCGGCAGTCTTAACCCCCGGCCCCGCAGGCTGCCCGAGCCCTAAAGCCGCCAGCTGCGCCTCTAGTCCAGACACCGGACCCCAGGTCCGCTCGAGCGCCAAGCCCGGAGGGAGGGCCTTGGGATCCAGCGCACAGCGGTGCCGGGGACACAGCAGTTCCGAGGGTCCCGGCTCCGGGGCCGCCTCCGCGTCCTCCTCCTCCGGCGGCCGCCCCACGTTGCGGAACACCATCAGCTGCGGCGGTCGGGCTCCCCGCGGGCCGGGCCGCGCGAGGAAGGGTGGCGGCGACGGGCCATGGCCCGGGGGCGGCGGCGGCGGCGGGCCTGGCTCGGGGGCCGCCTCTCCATAGCCGAGGAGGCGGCTCAGGACCCGGTATGAAGCGGCCGCCGCCGCCGCCTCGCCGTCCCGGAGCTCGGCCCCCTGCATCAGGGTGAGGGAGGGAGGGCGGGCGGCTGGGAGCCGGGCTGGGTGGGGACTAGGCCGGGCCCCGACGGAGCCCCGCCCGCCGCGGCCCCCGGAGCGACAGCGTTAACGGCCGCCGCGGCCTCTGCCTCACAGAGGAGGCGGGGGGCGCGCGGAGCGCAGCGCGAGCCCAGGCCGCGCGCGCAGCCGCCGAGGACCGCCCCCTAGACGTCACTTCCTGGCTAGGTCCCGCCCCCGTCCCCAGGGTACGCGGCGTCAGCCTCCGCTGAGCTTGACGTCGCTCTCGGCTCTGGTTGCTATTGGCCGTCAACTGGTTCTGTGGCCTGCTTGGTCTCCGGCACCGACCCCTGCCTTTTCACTTCCTGGGCGCCCAGGCCCTGGCCACCCTTCCCTGTGGAGCGGGGCAGGCCTTGGGACCTGAGTCTGGACCTGGGAGAGGGTCGCCGCCCTTGGCGCTGTCTGTGGGTCTGGTCCCCTCCATGCTGCTTGGGCTGTGTGGCCTTGGCCAAGTCATTTCATTAAATCTGTACCCTTTTCCTGGCATCCGACGAATTATGGAATGACTATATGAAAATTGTGTTCTAGATCCGGCGATGTGCTGTTCCGTGATAAACAACTGGTTTTTGGGGGAAAGAAAGGGTGTGTGTATAGTTACATAATTTTTACCATCTCTTTGACTGAGATAAAGGATATATATGTAGTACACAATTTCAAAGAAATAATAAAAGTATACAATAGCCAATCCTGTATGACTGATTGCCAAATGCATGCTTCTGCTGGTTGTCACAGTGTGTGTGTCATGTTGAGGAGAGAAGCCTAGATGAGCCATGTGCTAAGTAAGCATCAATTCAACCACCAGAGCTCATTCCCAAGCCCTTCCCAAACTGCTTACAAGTGTCCAAGGAGTGTAACTGTAACAAAAAATTTTTACTGATATTTTCCTCTATTGATGCAAGAGGACAGAGAAAAAACCGAAGACAATTGTCAATAATGGGGACAACTTTGCTGAATCAGAACTGGTTTCAATGACTAGAAGGGTTTCTTCAACTTTTTGTGTTATTCCTAATGTAACACCTACATATGTACAGGAGGTATAAATCAGAAGCACTCGAATACTCTCCATCACTTAAAAAAATGTGTGTGTGTGTGTGTGTGTGTGTGTGTGTGTGTGTGCCCAGAACAGAGCATCAGATCCCCTAGTAATTTTTTCTGGGAACTGAATTCCAATCCTCTGCAAGAGCAGACATGCTGTGAACTCTCTCTCCAACTTCATCACATTTTTTTTTTTTTTTTTTTTTTTTTGAGACAGGGCTTCTCTGGGTAGCCCTGGCTATTCTGGAACTTCCTCTGTAGACCAGACTCACAGAGACCCACCTGCCTCTGCCTCCCAAGGATTAAAGATGTGTGCCACATCACCCAGCTCCTCCAACACTTTTTAAGTCAAGGTGACTAGCAAACAACAAATCAAGCACCGGTTTGTAGCGCTTGCTCAGCGGCTAATATCCACCCTCTCTTACTAAACTCAGGAAGACATGAGCTTTAATGTACCATCCTTCATGTGGTAGTTCATTACACACAGTGGGCTGAAATAATCCCAAGAGCACAGGTAAAATGATGTGTTTGGGGCTACCAAGGTGGCTCAATGGGTTGAGGCACTTGTTACCAAGCCTGAGTTCTATCCCTGGGGCTCATGTGGTGGAAAGAAGACACCACCTCCTGAAAGTCGTCCTGTAAACCTCCATATGCATGCCATGGCACATGCAGACACACAGACCACACAAATAAATATAATAAAAATTACAAGTTTTGAGAATATAGTACCTTCGCTTTTTGTTGTTTCTTTCTTTCTTTTTTTTTTTTTTTTGAGACAGCGTCTCTCTACATAGCCTGGCTGTCCTGGAACTCACTATGTCCACCAGGCTGGCCTGGAACCCAGAGATCCTCCTGCCTCTGCCTCCTGAGTGCTGGAATTAAACATTTGCGCCACCACCACCTGGCTATGTGTAGTGGTATTTGCTCTGCCCATGACCTTGGGCTATATGGGTTATAGGGCCTGAAGGAGGTGGTGCTTTTTTTTTGGGGGGGGGGTTGAGAGAGGGTTTCTCTGTGTAGCTTTGCGCCGTTCCTGGAACTCACTCTGTAGCCCAGGCTGGCCTCAAACTCACAGGGATCCGCCTGGCTCTGCCTCCCGAGTGCTGGGATTAAAGGCATGCGCCACCACCGCCCGGCTTGAAGTGGTGCTTCTTGCTATTGTATGTGACCTCTCAAAAGGAAAGGGAGATATATGTGTGGTGGTATTGTGTTCCCCAAAATATTGTGTGCCCTAATAAACTTATCTGGGGTCAGAGAACAGAACAGCCACGGGTCTCTTTGAGTTCAAAGCCACACTGGAAACAGCCAGGCATGGTGACTCACACCTTTAATCCCAGGAAGTGATGGCAGGAAGCAGAAAGGTATAAAAGGCATGAAAACCAGGAACTATTGCTGGTTAAGCTTTTAGGCTTTTAGCAGCAGTTCAGCTGAGATTCATTCTGGATGAGGACTCAGGCTTCCAGTCTGAGGAAACAGGATCAGCTAAGGAATTGGCGAGGTGAGGCTGTGGCTTGTTCTGCTTCTCTAATCTTCCAGTATTCACCCAAATACCTTTTAAGATTCATGCTACATATATGTTCGTTTTTTCATGTGTAAGTTTCTATACATATATATAACATATACATAGAACATTTATATAACATGATATATACATAACATTATATGTGTCTACATACATACACACATACACATATATTGCTAGGGATTGAACCCAGGGCCTTGTGCATGACAAATACTCTACCTTTAAGCTCTACATCCAGTCTTATAAGTTCATACAATTTAAATTTTTTTGTGTGTGCTTTTGTTTTTATTTGTTTTTCGAAAGAGGGTTTCTCAGAGTAGTTTTGGTGCTTGTCCTGGATCTTGCTCTGTAGACCAGGCTGGCCTCGAACTCACAGATTCACCTGCCTCTACCTCCCGAGTGCTGGGATTAAAGGTGTGCGCCACTGATGCCCAGCTTACAATTTAATTTTGAATAGTAACTATGATTTTGGTTTTGTTTTTTAAGTGTATATGGGTGTTTCTCTTGCATGTATTGTCTGTGTGCCACATGCCTGCCTCGTGCTCTCAGAATCCAGAAAAGGGTGTCAGATCTTCTGGGACTAGAATTACAGAGAGTTGTGACTACCACGTGGGTGCTAGGAATAGAACCCAGGTCCTCTGGAAGAGCAACCAGCACTCTTAACCACTGAGCCATCTGTCCAGCCCAGCAACTATGTTTAGCAACACTTGATCTTAGTCAGAAGGCCAAGAGGTTATTATGTCTAATAACTGGCTTACAAAATCCCAGAAACTGCCAGGTGGCGGCGGCACACGCCTTTTATCCCAGCACTTGGGAGGCAGAGGCAGGCTGATCTTTGTGAGTTCGAGGCCAGCCTGGGCTACAGAGTGGGGACAGCCAGAGCTGTTAACACAGAGAAACCCTGTCCAAAAAAAAAAAAAAAATCCCGAAACTTGAACAATTGAATTTCAGAGGCTGCCATAAGTGTGCCCCCTAGCACCACTAGACCTCACTTCTACGTCTGAAAAAGGCAGGCAAGCCCTGTAGCTTTGCTTACTTGGCAAGGATGTTGTGAGGAACAAATAACACCAAGTTAATGAGACAGTTTGTGTGGAGGTGTCACTGGAGGTGGACAGACCAGACAGGAACCCACTGCAATTGTTCCTGTGGGAGATGTTGAGGTTCGGAGTGGATAAGGAGGAAGGAGCAGCCGGCAGAAGTTAGCAGTTTTAGGAGCAGAAGGAGCTTTGAGGGGAAGATTAAGGAACCACCGTGTTGTGTGCTTGGTATACGCACCTACACAAATTAGGTGCGTTTGTATGTTTGTGCATGTAGGTGTGAATGGGTGTAGAGGACAGGGGTGGACGTTGAGCTCTCATAAGTATATGGACTTGACTTCGGATCCCTAGCACAGTATAAAAGGCAGGCAGAGCAGCGTGTGCCTGTGATACCAGCCCTGAGGGCAGAGCAGCGTGTGCCTGCCTGTGATACCAGCCCTGGGGGTGGAGTGGATCCCTGAAGCTCACTGACCAGCCAACCTAGCCACTCTACCGTCTGAGCCCTCTTCCCATCCCAGAGGAGCCCTTCAGAATGGAAGCTAGCTCACAGCCTGGATGATAAAGATTTATGTATGTCTGTCTGTCTGCATGCATGCATGTCTGCACACCAAAAGACTGCATCAGATCCCATTATAGATGGTTGTGAGCTGCCATGTGGGTACCGGGAATTGAACTCAGAACCTCTGGAAGGGCAGCCCGTGCTCTTAACCACTGAATCATCTCTCCAAACCTGTCAAGTCCTGCTCAACCTGTTGAACAGTTCTGAAGGGGGGAATGTGGAACTGGGAAATGCTATCTATGAAATATAGACATAGCTGGGCGGTGGTGGCACATGCCTTTAATCCCAGCACTCGGGAGGCAGAGGCAGGCGGATCTCTGTGAGTTCAAGGCTAACCTGGTCTACAAAATGAGTTCCAGGAAAGGTGCAAAGCTACACAGAGAAACCCTGTCTCGGGAAAAAAAAAAAAAGAAAGGAAGAAAAGAAAAGAAATATAGATGTAGAAAAAGAAAAAGACAGAGACACAGGATAGCTTTCGGAGGTTTCTGGGTTAATACTGCAGACACAAGTTTTTTTACTCAGAGCCTTTATATACCCAAAGCAAGGGGGGCAAAAAGACCTCCCCCTTTGAAGGACCTCTTGGTTCAAGGTACAAAGCACAGTCAAGTGTAAACACCTCCTTAGTACTCAAGACCACGCCTTCCGGCTAAGTACCCCATAAACAGGCCTTGAAGTAGAAGACACCTGGTAACCACGCCTTTGGCCAAAACATCCTATTGGGCAGCCTTGCAGGGGAAACACGCGCGAACTCGCTGACCTTGAGTCTAGATGAAAACAAGCCACAAGCTGGGATCTCTGTGGACCCCCCACAAACCTGCAGCCTATCACTGTAATTGTGCATGCTTTCTTCATTCTTAGGGTAGAGAGAAAGCTCCTTTGTGAGACATAGAGGACCCC